TTTGATTCAGTGTGAAAACCAGGCATGAAGGCAGTCAGGTTCATACCTGAATACTGCCTCTTCAGACCTCTTCCTTGATAATGAGTAGGACTCAAACTTTCTTGGGACTTAGTAAGCTTACTGGGGAGACACAAACATCAGGACTGCATGGAGAGTCAGTATAATGAGGCCCACAGCAGGTGGCTGTCCTCCTACTACCTACAGGGAGTCTGGTCTTCACAGGGGTCATGAACCATGGCCAGTGTGCACATGACCTTTTGGATTTACAGAGTACCTTTGCACACAGCTATCCCGTGAACATCTCGAGTGAGACCGAGAGACAACTCTAACATCAAACCTTTGGCACCCACGAGGAATGACAAGTAATTGGCTCTACTCTGCCTCTGTTCGCTTTCCAAGATGGCCAGAACCCCTCAGGGGAAATAGGTAGAGATCAGACTAGGGGAGCTGGGATGTACACTGGTATAGAGAGAGCTGCTTTTCAGAAAATGCTATTATGTCTGTGAGCCTGAGGCCCTGCCTGGGGACAGGCAGAAGTCTCCATTACCTAACCACGTGGTTCACGGACCCACTCTTGTGTGGGTCATGCTTTTCCACCCAGTCGCTCACCCTACTGGCAGCATCAGACTCCGGGGGGCCTCATGGGGTAGAAAGGTCGATTCTCAGTCCATCCCCAGTGGCTTAGACAGGGACCCTGAGAGAGGCTCGCTGGTTTTCATTTAACGTTTTAATTATTTAATTTCTTCTCGAGGAGGTATGAAGAATATGAAATCTGTGTTACTGTGTAGAATGACAAAGTGCTGCAGAAAACCCAAATGCAAACACAACGGCCACTTTTGAGGGGGCGTCACTGACTCCATTTTTGGTTCATGAGGTTTATCTCCTTCTCACGTCTAGGTCATTCACAGCACCTGCTCCTCTCCTGTTCTGCAGGCCTGGGTGGCCTGAGGGGCAAGCTGAGACCCCAGGCTTGTCTGTCTCTATCAGAATCTCCCAGGCCTGCCTGCTGTGAGCTCCAGGCTCAGCCTTGTTTCCCCCTTCCCTGAGCAGCCTGGCTGTATCCCACCTCCGGCTTTTGCTTTCAGTCTTCCTTCGGGAGAAGATGCCAGTGCCAACCCTTCTCATCCTGCAGGTCTCAGCCCGGATTTCAGTTTCTGAGGGTCCTCTTGGAAGGTCTTTTGTAGAGTAGGCCACTTCCCTGTCATTCTCTCTGTTCACTATGGCTATTTCAACCCAGGGTGCTGCTTCACACTCCTCAGGGGCCTGCTCTCAGGCCTTCTTCTATTCACATGCTTATTTATCACACACCTCCTTGTCACAGCCAGTGTTCTATTGCTGTGAAGGGACACCATGACCATGGCAACTCTTACAGCAGGAAACAGTTTGGAGGTTTAGTGCGTTACAGGCCTGATGGGAAGCTTGGCCGCACACAGGCAGACATGGTGCTGGAGGAGGAGCATTGCTGTTTGCCAAGAGTGTCAGGTCCACTGGAATTGGAATTACAGCTGTGAGCTGCCATGTGGGTGCTAGGAATTGAACCCAGGTCCTCTGGAAGATCAGTCAGTGATCTTAGCCCCTGAGCCATCTCCCCAGCCCTGAGTTCTTACATCTTGACAGGAAGGCAACAGGAAGTCGTCTGAGACACTGCACATGGTTTAAACATATATCAGACTCCAAAGCCCACCTCCACAGTGACACATTTCCACACTCTAACAAAGCCACGCTTAGTAGTGCCTATGGGTTTATGAGGGCCAATTGCATTCAGACTATCACACTCCTCCATTTAAGATGGAAAGGCCACAGTAATTGATATTAGCTGGATGAAAGGGGATACTCCAATATCTATTAAATATCATAGATTCTCGTCTCTGTTTTAAAATAAGAGAATAAAAAAGCATGGGCCTGCAGGGTGGTGGTGGCACAAACAGTTAATCCCAGCACTCAGGAGGAGGCAGAAGCAGGTGGATCTCTGTGAGTTCAAGACCAACCTGGTCTACGAAGCTAGTTCCAGGATAGCCAGGACCACACAGAGAAACCCTGTCCCCCCAAAAACAAACCAAAAGGACCTAGGTTCAAACCTCTTTACCACAAATAATGAATAGATAAGTAGTAAATACATGAATTAGGAAACAATGGGAAACCACATATAATTGTGAGCTGAATTTTACATATTCAAGTGATAAGGTATGAGGTATGTGTATGTTGTGTGGGAAAGGGGGTCAAACAGAGAGACTTCTAGGGCCAGGCAGGAGACCTCCATAGGCAGGGCCACAGGACTGGACTGGAAGCAACTACGGAGTGCACCTTTGTAAGGCAGCCTCTAACCACCGCCTCAGTTCTGAAGCAATGGTTCTCAGTCTGGATGCTGCGGCTCCTTCGTACAGATCCTCATGTGGTGGTGGCCCCCGGCCACGTTCATCGCCACTTCATAACTGTACTTTCGCCACTGTTATAAATCATAACGGAAATATCCGATCTGCAGGGTATCTGATATGAGTGAGACCCCTGTGAAAGGGCCATATGACCACCAATGGGGTCGTGGCCCACAGGTTGAGAACTGCTACAAGCCACCTCAACTCTATCTTTTTGTTGCTATCTTTTCTGAGTAATGGGTCTGATGGGTTTATATCCTAAGGATTCCCAATAAATCTAATAATTTCAATTTTATTAAAAAATTATTTGAGATGAACAAAGCCTTTTTTTTTTTTTTTTTGGAGTCTTTTGTGTAACCTCTGACCCAGTGATCTAGGTGGCCAGATGGAGCCTGATCCCTAGACATTAATAAATATAAATATTAATAAAAAAATCAGCACCAGAGGCTGGTTATCAAAGATATCACATGCTGGTTGCCTCATAAAACCAATCGCTTATATTTTTCCTTTCCTCTTTGTGTGTGTGTGTGTGTGTGTGTGTGTGTGTGTGTATGAGAGACACAGAGACAGACAGAGAGAGAGAGACAGACAGACAGAAGGGGAGGGGGTAAATCCGAGGGCTTCCCACATTCTAGGCAAGCACTCTATCGTGGAACTGTTTTCAGCCCTTAGGAAGTAGTCCTTGGTCTATGGAAAATTTCCCCTCCACTATCTTCTAAACACTTATTAACTGAATGACTACCAGATAAGATGATGTGATGTCTGTTACCTCTGGACTTTAGTTGGTCAGCTGAATAGCTGAACCACCACTGAGATAATAAGAGAATGAGAGTCATGAAGTCCAGCTCTTTTGCCCATCAGGACTTGACCCCTGGGTGCTGACAGGAGTCTTCTATGTAACTGGTCCCTTCTATAGATTTCATCTCCAGCCAACCCACCCAGTGTCATGCAGGGCCAAACTGGCCCGCGGTATCTGACAGTAGCTTTCACCATTGAGCAGACAAGTTCTAAGTGGAACACTCATCTCTCTCTCTGCTCATAAGGTAGGAAGAGTGAGCCCTGGAGCATCTTATGCTAAGGTCTAAGAACCTTCTCTTAACCTCATCTACCTGCAGTCAGTGAGAAAAACACTGGAATTAAATCTTCAGAATACACACAAATCTCTCTTTTGGTCTAGCTCATACTGTGATCTTAGGCTTGCTGAAGGCCTAATTTCCATCACTGCCCTGACAATATTGATTTCTCTGGCTTAAAGGTACATAAGTACATTGATTTTTGTTTGCTGTCTCACACTAAACCGGATCATGGTAGTGTTAGTGTATTCCACGGGTTCGCATACACAGAATGAATAAATAATAATGTTACTTGGAAAAACTTGGTCTTTGGAAAACAAGGTGCAGGTCTTGGGTTGCATTGAGAATTGGTTTGGTGTTTCCTAAGCTTGTTCATTGTGAGTGACACTAAGGATCCTACACCAGCCGCTCTGACTTATTATTTGAAAAAACAAACAAACAAACAAACAAACAAACCAAAAAAGCAAAGATCACTTCACTTTAGTTTAGGTCTGGGGTAGAGAGATGAACCCAGTAGGAGGAAAAGTATCCTTTTGTGGAGGTTTATTAGCAAGAGGGATGTCATTTCCCTCTAAGTCAGGGGGAAGGAAATATATTCACCAGGAGTCTTTGCTAATTTGTTTCTAATTTAAGGACAATTAAGCGATTCTACACCCCATCCAGCTTCTGCATAATTTCTCTCACCACTAGACTAAAAAACAAAACAAAACAAAATCTGGAAACAAAGAAGTCTCTGAAGTTAACTTTGGCTTCACTTGAAGAGACACCTAGTATCACCATGGACCTTAGGAGCCAGCCAGTATAAACTGCTTCATACTGGTTCCTCGTTCTGAAAAAGAGAAATTTTGTTTCCTACTGTCACAAAACATTACTTGCTCTGGAAACACAGGTCTTAGCCGAGACATTGCTTGAGCTGTGGCAGCATAGAAAGAATCCTTTAGGTCACAAATACGCTCTGCATAATAAAAGGCAGTGCCTTCCTCTTTATACACTCCAGCTAGGAAGAAATGGAAGGCGACGAGGAAGAAGCTCCAAATTCTCCTGGCCTCTCGCATTTCTTTACTTCCAGGTGGCATTTAACTTCCAACTTCTCAGATTTCCCCAACAGGAAGGAAGGCAGATTTGGGCGGTGCAGGAAGCCGGCTCTGGCGGTGGGTACACTATTTACCAGCTGGATTTAAACCCGCTACGGAGGGGGCGTGGCCCTGGAAGGGCGGTGCAGCTCCAGTGGGCGGGGAGGAGGCGGGGCTCCGGGAGGCAAAGCCTGGTGCAAGAAAACCCGAGCTCCCCGAACCAGCGACTGTCTCTTTAAATGCCAAGGGCTGCGCTCCCGCCCGGGAGCCCGGAGCCGGATCTACAATCCCGTCCCTCCCGCTCCAGCGCTTGTTGCTCGCCCGGCCCGAGCGGGAGCTGCGGACCCCGGGAAACCCAGCTACCTCCTCCTGCTTTCCTCTTCGCGTGTTCCACCTTCCGGGAGATCTGCGGGAGGGGTTGCACGGCAGCGAGCGTGAACAGGCATTGCCCCCTACTCCACCCCACCCCCGTTTTTAGTTTTTTGGGGCGCTACGCAGCCGCGCGGGGCGGGAAGGAGAGAAATGCGTCCTTCGCTGCTGCCTGCCTTCGCCCCTGTCCGCGTCGGGAGAGGAGGCACTGTGGAGCCCACGCCTGCCAACTCGCCCTAGAAGTCCCAGGGTGCGGCAGGGCGCCCCTCCCGGTCCCCAAGGGCTCCCACCTCTCCGCGATTGAGTCGGCGCAGGTAATCCGAACCCCAGGGCTGGCGCGCGGGGGAGGGGCCGGCGAGCGGCAGCGAGGACTTGTCGCAGGTGAGCCAGGTGGGGTGGCTCACCGCGCGCGCCGCGCCGCGGGAGTTTCTCTGGTTCCTAAGGGATGCGGGCATTGCGGGGCGTCTAAGGACTAGTTAGGACCGGGAGTGGGAGGGGAAGTTAGGAAAGAGAAGGGAATTGGAATAAAGTTTCCATTTCCTTTCCGCCTCCTGCCCAGGGTTGGCAGGTAGGGTGCGGGCGGAAGCTGTAGGAACAGCTGATGCAATGGGCTTTGGCCTGGGCCAGGTGGTAGCTAGCGGCTGGGGAGCAGTGGAGTGGCCGTGTCTCCGGTAATGTGACCCTGGAGGTGGAGAGACGCGACGAAGCTCGCACCCTAGACTCCCCCTAAAATGGCTCCAGGTGCTCAGCCCCCTCCCGTTCTTTTTGTAGAACAAAACGTCTTTCCCTTGAGAGGCACCTACAAATACATTTTTTTTTTCTTGCCTCCTCTTCCAACAGGTGGCTTTGGCCCCTGCCCCGGGACCAGTGCCAATGACTCTGGTGGTGGTTTCGCTTTCTCCTCTCGAAGTCCTGTGAACGAGTGTCCCCTGCGTGATGGGCAATCAGGTGGAGAAATTAACCCACCTAAGTTACAAGGAAGTTCCCACGGCCGACCCGACCGGCGTGGACCGAGATGATGGGCCCCGCATAGGAGTCTCTTACATTTTCTCCAATGATGACGAGGATGTGGAACCGCAGCCACCGCCCCAGGGCCCTGATGGCGGAGCTTTGCCGGACTCGGGAGACCGGCCCCCCCTGCCCCCGCCGCAGCCCTATGACCCGCGGCAGCACGAGGTGGAATGCTCGGTGTTTTATCGGGACGAGTGCATCTATCAGAAAAGCTTCGCGCCGGGGTCGGCGGCGCTAAGCACCTACACACCCGAGAACCTGCTCAACAAGTGCAGTCCGGGCGACCTCGTGGAGTTTGTGTCGCAGGCGCAGTACCCGCACTGGGCTGTCTATGTGGGCAATTTCCAGGTAGTGCACCTGCACCGCCTGGAGGTGAGCAACAGCTTCCTGACCGACGCCAGCCAGGGTCGGCGCGGCCGCGTGGTCAACGATCTATATCGCTACAAGCCTCTGAGCCCCAGCGCTGTGGTGCGCAACGCGCTGGCGCACGTGGGCGCCAAGGAGCGCGAGCTCAGCTGGCGCAACTCGGAGAGCTTTGCTGCCTGGTGCCGCTATGGCAAACGCGAGTTCAAGATCGGTGGCGAGCTGCGCATCGGCAAGCAGCCCTACCGATTGCAGATTCAGCTCTCGGCTCAACGTAGCCACACTCTCGAGTTCCAGAGCCTGGAGGACTTGATCATGGAGAAGCGGCGCAACGACCAAATCGGACGCGCGGCGGTGCTGCAGGAGCTCGCCACGCACCTACACCCGGCTGAGCCGGATGAGGGCGACAGCGATGCGGCTCGGACTACACCGTCTCCCCTGCGCCCCCCTGCACCGGGCTCCGAGGAGGAGGATGGATACTCGGTGGTGCACTGATACTTACTTAACCTGGGCCCTGAGCTGCAGAAGGGAGCTGTTTGCAACGGCCGCGCCCCCTTCCTCCCCACCCACACCCCCTTCACCGGGGCCCCATTTGATATTCTTGGGCCTTTTGGAAAACGCAGAGTTGGTGAGATGCACAGCCGACTATGGACAGGGGAGGAGGAAGGGGACGAGGGAGCAGGTAGGAGCACGTTGACTGGTGGGTGGCCATGGGGAACATTTCCTTCCCGCCCCCGCAGTCTGCCTTTCTTTCTGTGGCGAGGTAAAGTGAACTTGCTTGGAGTTTCAACCATGACAGATCTGGGCCCAATTCAGCCCTTCCTGTAGAAGCAGGCTCGGGGGATTTGAAAGCACCTGAGTTTGCCCTGCATTCCGCCTCTGTGCCCCTCCCTACTCTCTGCTTGGAGGAGGCAGGGTACAAAGGCCAGAGGGGTTTGGGGGCGGGGCAGCTGGAAGAGCTGCTTATCTGCTTCCCCCACTGAGCTGTGCTTGGGATCCTAGAGCATGGAGTGATTTATGGGATTCTCGGGGCACAGGGCTGCTAAAACCACAAGATCTGGGAGCAGCAGACCGAAACCAAACAGCCCTGTATTAAATGCAACAAATACTTTAGCAAACTCAGGCTACAGGCTACAAACAAACTCTACTACCTCCCTCCTCCCCATTCCCAAGTACCTCCTCTTGGGAATGCTGGCTCTAAGCCGAGTCCCTGGCTCCCAACTCTTCCCCTGGTTACGAGTAAATCATCATCAAGGGCCAGCCAGAGAAAGGATTCAATTAAGGTGCCGTTCTGTGTCTCTGTTTCTGGCCTGCTGTTGTGGACTCTAACGCTATGGCAGTGTTATCAAGGGAGGCAATAGCCCTTTGTTTCTGTGATCTAATTAAACCTGCTTGGCGTGTTCATCTGCAGGTCACAGATGGGGTTCGCCTGTGCCACCTCATAAAATATCCTCTAGGGAGTCAGCCAGTGATGCCTTGGCAAGAATTAAATCTCTCTTTATGCCCCTGCTGAATGGTGAGAGGGACCCTGTAAAAATAAAGCTGGACCTAGGGTTCTTTCTGCTTTTCTTGGTCCTTCCCTTTCCTCACGATGGCTTTGTTCTGCCTGGTGGTAAGTCCTAGGTTTCAGACAGTTGCTGGGGTAGGGTTAGCTTTACTTCGTTATCCATGGATGGCGACCTTTAATACAAGGTGCACAGTCTTGTTGTATGGACCCAGTTGCTTTGTGGCTTGGAGAACATCCCATTCAGAGCCCTTTCTTAATTACATTAAGAGTGGTGGACAGAGTCACACAGATTTTGAATATGGTCCCAAACATAGATCGGTGATGATAGAATGTGTTGGTGACTGACCAGTTGGGTCTGCTGCTGAACTTCATGCACTTTTTAAAAATTAAATTTATTTTTTATTTCACTCTGCATTCCAACCAAAGTTCTCTCTCCCACCTCACTGCCAACTCCCCCTCCCCCACCCCACCTCCCATCCACTCCTCCCAACAGGCAAGGGCTCCCTTGAGGAGTCAACAAAGTCTGGCACATTAAGTTGGTGCAGGACCAAGCCCCTGCCCACTGCATTAAGGCTGAACATGGCATCCCCTCATAGGGAATGGGCTCCCACAAGCTAGCTCATGCACTTTAGTACAAGGCCATAAGGTGGCTGCAGCCTGTCCCCTCAACTGTGGGCAGGCCTTTGACTGCAGAGTGCTTATGGACTGCCTGCCAACTGTTCTGAGAAGCTGAGAACATTTAACCATTCAAAGGCCTTCTATGCCTCCTCTGGACAAGTCATTTGTGCATTTGTGACCTAGTTCTTAGCCAATGGGACAGAATCTTACTTGAGTGCCCTGAAGCCACGGCCATTGTTAAGCTTCTTGCTTGGGGAAATCTCCAAATAAGCTTTTCAGGCATAATAGTTGAGATCCTATTTCTGTTTTTTTTTTTTTTTTTTTTTTTAAGCCTAGATATTCATAGTAGTACTTCATTATAAAGGCACTCAAAGCATGTCCTGCTGCCATGGTGACTACCAAACAAGTCCTTGTTAAAGATGAGCTATACAGTAGCCTTGGTTTGGGACACTTGGGGAGGATCATTTTCTAGTTGGGAATGTGAATCTGGTTACTGCGTATGCATGGCTATCTATCTGTTTATATGGTCTTGTTCTTGGAACAGCACAGCAAGGTAAACACAGGGCGCCCTCCTATGTCTAACAGATTTGGGTTCGTGAAAGTGGAGATTGATGCCCACCGTGTGGACAGCGGGGGAGGGGTCAGAACAGCTGTCCCCAGCAGCTCTGGGATAGCAACCTCTTTGTATCTCCTTCCACCCTTCCTTCTTCATCGCCCCTCCCCACCAAAGAAAGTCTGCTCACGCTCAGTGTAGCAGGTGATCTGTGTTATACACAGAGTGCCCCCTAAGGACGGACTCATAGTGTCCATAGTGTAGCTGTCTTAATTCCAGGAGATATTTTCCGAAATGTGCTGCCCACAATTGAGCTGGGTACCAATGATGGCAAATATGCCATACTTAGGGAGAACTGTCCCATTGTGTCCCATTGCATCCCAATAGAAGGTCTTTGGCAGCGGTTCTCAACCTGTGCGTGGAGACCCATTGGGGCACATACCAGATATCCTGTATATCAGATGCATACATCACATTCTTAAGGGTAGCGAGATTACGGTTATGATATGGCAGTGAAGCAATTCTATGGTTGGGGGGGGGGTGGTCACCAAAACGTGCGGAATTGTATTGAAGGGTCAAAGCTTTTGGAAGGTTGAGAACCCAACCACTGGTTAGAATAGAGCGGCATCAGCTTAGGGCTCTAAGGAGATTGTTGTGTCATGTTTGTGTTTTAAGTCAGCAGTGATGTGGGGAAATCACTTTCTTTTTTTATTTAATGTCCTGGCAATGGCTTCGTCTGGCACTTTAGAAAACAAAAGTATATTTAATAATTTTTGTTTCTCCGTAGGAATAAGACATAGAACTATTTTGTACTGTGAATTATGGACGCTCTTTGAAGGAAAGAAATATTGATTTCAGTGTTCTTCTGAAGCTGTGGAAAGGCATAAGCAGGACCCTGTGGAACACATACTAAAAAGACACCAGACAAATTCTATTTTCTTACCCGAGCAAATATTTTATTGAGACTGCTTGTGTATGTCAGAGGAGCCTACAACTTCAGCCACCCAACTTTTTCTATGGAAAGAACTGGTACTTTTGTAGCTTTTATCTCACATTTAATTTAAAATGACTTTGTAGCAGTCAAATGTCTAGCAGAGGACTTTATTCCAGATCTTGAAGAAGATTTTTAGTTTTTATGAAATGGTTCAGTGGTTAAGCCTCTCAAAGCTTTGGTGCTTCGGGGCCTCATGGCACCATTGGACAAGAACAACCACGTGAAAACATATATTTTGGAAGCAAAACTTTAATTTTATATGACATATACTATGGAAAGATCAGAAAATCTAAGGACTACTTGTTTTTCTTTTTTCTTAAAATGGGATCTACTGTGTTGAAGACTCTTGATACTATGTGCTTGTCTAGCCATTTTAAAAAAAAAAAAAACAAAAAATGGAGTGTGATTATAGTCATCCAATGGATTTGTTTGGAAACTGAAATTTTATTTTTTGAATTGTTTAAAAATCAGGATCATGATAACTTTGGCTGTTGTTCATCTTGTTATTGTTGTTTTGTTCTTAGGTATAAATCTGTGGCCTCTGGGCAGTCACCATCAGGGTACCTACCCCAGAGGCATTTGATTTCCCAGCAAATTGCAGAAACTTTAATTTTGTTGGAGGTTGTATGTTAAATCGATTTTCTTTCACCACTTCTTGAGGAGGAGGTTCTAGTTTGAAATTGTATCATTTCCTTCAAAATGAAGGGCAGTACTTAGTTAAATAAAAGATTAATGACATCTTTTAAGCCATTTCCTCTTCACTCTGTCTTATTAAAGTAAAAGCTGTCAAGTTCTTTCGAAAAATGTTATGAGGGTTCCCAATAAACCATCTATTATTAGAGCTCATTGCATTCATTTCTCCATGTATACACCTCTTCTTTTGACATTTTTGATCTTAATTCAAGCTACTTGGCTTACTGTAATGTGTCTGAAAAAGTATAAGTGTGCCATTCTTGCATTGTAAGAAAATAGTCCGGTGGATTCATTTAGTGGCCTGAACTCTTGCATTTACCATTCGGGAATTAATCACCCATTGCTTTGTGGTGTCTGTGTTCATGGAAAGTGTCTTGTGACCACACATCATCAACACATGGTTTTCAGAAACCCTGTGAATGTTGCCAGAAGATAGACTTAGTGTGGGGTCTACAATGGAAAGTTCTGTGCTCAGGAACTTACGTTGAACTTTCAGTGATTTCAAGGCCTCACGCTTGTCACATGGCACTGTTGACATGACAGCGGATACAGGTGCCTGTGGTTGGGAGGACAAATACGACATCTAAGAAAGGGTACCCGGAAGGCCCACCAGCATGCCCCAGACCAGCCTATGAAACGAAGACCACAGACTCAAGAGGTGCAAATCCAGGCTGAGAATTTTATATAGCAAAGTTGGGTGAGACTATAAGGAGCTCAAGAAGCAAGAGGCCATTTTCCCTGCCACAGTCTCACAGCTCTCAATACACAAGAAACACAAGAGCCTAATGCAGAATTTGCACTAATTCTTCGCTAGTATTGGTGGAGGCTGCTATTCCTACTTTTTCTAAGTAGACTTAGCTTGCTTGATGTAGGAAAATGACATGTTCCAAAGCATTTTAAAGGACCTCTAAAACGAACAGGCTCAGAATAGGTGCAAAAAGGCTTCTATTAACTTTTACTGGGTTTCCCGGGGAAACTGCTTATTAAACAAATATAGCAATTTGCCTGCGGAATAAATGCGTTTGCAATCACAGTAAGGTACAGCCCTGAGCATTATGAAGGGCCAGAGGATGTTGAGCCCAGCCCTGTGTCAATCTGAAGGTCATCACAGTGGGAATACACGTGTCACACTAAGCTATGAGTGTGCTCAAACAAGTCCAGGCCCTGGGGAGGTCCTAAAGGCAGGGCTTGAGAAACAATGACCTTAGCCACAGTGGTTAAAAAGAGTGGTGGGACAGACAGTTGCCAGGCAGCTGCCCTTACAGTTCTGTTGGTAAAAGGTTCCATGGCTTCTGTGTGAGTCTGGGGTTTTGGCAGAGCCTTTTGCTACAGTGACTATCAGACAGTCACATAATAACTCGTCGTGGCTTCCTGGCTAAGTGACTCCATTTTGATTGTGATATGTATAATT